ACAGAGTCTCACTTTATTGCCCTCGGTAGAGTGCCATGGTGTCACACAGCTCACAGGAACCTCCAACTCCTAGGCTTAGGTGATTCTCTTGCCTCTCAGCCTCCAGAGTAACTTAACTGGGACTACCGGTGCCTGCCACAATGCCCAGATATTTTTTTGTGGCAGTTTGGCTGGAGCCGGGTTTGAACCCGCCACCTTCAGTATATGGGACTGGTGCCCTACCCACTGAGCCACAGGCACCACCCCAGTTTCCTAGTTCTTATTAATTTAGTGGCATATTCCATTTTCATGGGTCTGAGTTCCTACTAATTTTGTTTTTGTATCAAATTTCATTATGATAATATTAGGTGTCCTTAACATTAATTCATTGTATCAATATTTCCATACTTCTTAACACAGGTCTATTGAGATGTGTGAATATTCACTTAATCTGTCCACTCTATTAGTTTCCACCTCTATGTCACTGGCCAATTAGATGATGAAGCCATCTGCCTATTAATAAAAACTAGGATAAAAAAGATTGAGGTTCTCAAGCTCTCCACGTGAAGTATGCCACCACATTGACTTTGGTTTCTTAATCCAGCAGTTCTCGAACCTGGCTATTAATCAGAATCACTTGGTAGGATTTCCTGCTTGTTTGTTTACTTTTAATTTTCCTTTTGTTGTAGTTTTTGACAGTTTAGATCTTTCAAACTCTCACTCAATGGTTCTGATTTGCTCATTAAATCAGTTCTTGGCATAGAAAATCTGTATTAAGATTTTCTGGATTGAGACAACTTTGAAATGATGAATAAAAAGTTTTAAGGATATTTTTACATTTACGGAAATAACAAATTAAAATTCAATACAATTATCAACATTGGAAAGGAAGGGAGGTAGCCGTAATGACTTAACTAAAGTAATTACAAATATGATATAAAGATAAGACAATGAACATTTAGACCTTTGGAGGTAACTTTCAGAAGAACTAGAAGCAGAAATTGTTTATCCAGAGAATACATTCTCCCTGGGGAATAGAACTAAGAATGTAGGAAAGGTTTTTCCAGAACATTTGCTTTTCATCATATTCATGCTTCCATTATCATGTTCATAATTATAGCAAATACTGTCATCTCCCTAGATCAGCAATTTTCAACCAGGGTCACCCTAGTGTTTCATGAGAGGATATTAGGTGTAGCACAAAAATTTTTAAAGATCATTAATTAAATTATTTGCAAAAGAAGTTCAAAGCACAGGAAATATAATTATTTTTCTTTACTCTTTTTTTTGAATGAACATAACTGAAGTGTTTAAAAACTTTAAAGATGTAACAATAACATGTTTCTGTTACTCTTGGCTGGTCCGAATAAAAGCTATCAACAACAATGGTTTCTACCTCCAACGGTTTCCACCTAACCCTAACCCACCCGGATGCCCTCAGCCAGCATCCACCATTCCCTTTTACTTCTCTCAGTTGATAAGTTTGTGAGAATCACTTTAGAAAAGTTGACTTAAAGATCACAGAAATACTCAAGCTAAAATTATTTCAAATAGTATCTTTACATAAAAAAATTTAACAATTTGGTGTCAACCTATAAAAAATTTGATTAAAATATTTCTGAGGTAGAACTATCCAGAAAGATAATTATATATAAATGAAGACGGCACCTAAGTTATGAATCCTCACCATGGTACACCCCCTCCCAATGGAGGAGAGCAATGAAATCCCCTCTAAATACCATGCTTTTTTCTCTCCCCTGCAGAAACTGACCAGGGGAAAATGGCAGCTGTAAATCACTCCTCAGTGGCTGAGTTCATCCTGGCGGGGCTCACAGAGAAGCCGGAACTCCAGCTGCCCCTCTTCCTCCTCTTCCTGGCAATCTACATGGTCACAGTGGTGGGGAACCTGGGCATGATCACTCTGATTGGGCTCCGTTCTCACCTGCACACCCCCATGTATTATTTCCTCAGCAGTCTGTCCTTCATCGATCTCTGTCATTCCACTGTCATTACCCCCAAAATGCTGCTGAACTTTGTGACAGAGAAGAACATCATCTCCTACCCTGCATGCATGACCCAGCTCTTTTTTTTCCTCGTTTTTGCTATTGCCGAGTGTTACATGTTGGCAGCAATGGCGTGTGACCGCTATGTGGCCATCAGTAGCCCCTTGCTTTACAATGTCATTATGTCTCATCGTGTCTGCTTCTCTCTGATTTTAGGGGTATATATTATAGGCCTGGTTTGTGCAACAGCTCATACTGGCTGCATGTTTAGGGTGCAGTTCTGCAAATTTGATGTGATCAATCATTATTTCTGTGATCTTATTTCCATCTTGAAGCTCTCCTGTTCTAGCACTTATGTCAGTGAATTACTGATTCTGATCTTTAGTGGAATTAATATTCTTGTCCCCAGCCTGACCATCCTGGCCTCCTACATCTTCATCATTGCCAGCATTCTCCGCATCCGTTCCCGTGAGGGCAGGTCCAAAGCCTTCAGCACCTGCAGCTCCCACGTCTCGGCTGTTGCTGTCTTCTTTGGATCTGCAGCATTCATGTACCTGCAGCCATCAGCAGTCAGCTCCACGGACCAAGGCAAAATCTCTTCTGTGTTTTATACCATTTTCGTGCCCATGTTGAACCCACTAATTTATAGCCTTCGGAATAAAGATGTCAACGTTGCTTTGAAGAAAATGCTAAGGAGAAGAATACCTCTATGAACAGACTAACTTGGAGGAGACTGTATTAGATCTAAGGCTTTGGCTAACAGGTTTTATGAACACATTTCATTTTAGCGTATCTGTTAATGGTTTTCCTCATTTGATGGGATACTATTGAATTATTTCTTCTTTGATGGCCTTTTTAATGCCCTTTCCCGTGGCTTTTTTTCTCTGATATGTAGCACTGAAAGATTAGAAGAAATACTAAGGAGGACTCAGACAGAATGGAGGCGCTCAAAGATACTGACTGAACATTGCAGCAGACCCCTCACTTTTCCACCCTGCCTCTTATTTCAGTCTCACACACAGTTATCAATGCTTTGCAAGCTCAAACTCAGCTTGCATTAGTAGAATTTCAATTCTGGCATACACATTTCCCCCCTTATTTTTAATTTAACATTACTTTAGGACAGTTATAAATTGATCAAAAATTTTTGATGATATCACAGAGTTCTCCTATCTCTGTACCCACTTGCCCCAGTTACAAACATCTATCTATGAGTATGGTGCATTAGCTATAATCAATAAAGTGATCAAAACATTATTAACTAAAATCCGTATTTATCCTTTAGTCTGTTTATTGAATTGAAATTGACAGAATCATCCTTCCTTCCTGTTTCTAATTCTCTTTCTACACCACCCCTGACCACAGACCTATCAAGCTACCTAATTCTAGTCTAAAAAATCATCAAAAAGGAAAATATTAATTTTATAATTATTTCAGATTTTCTTCAACAACAGCAAAAATTACAATAATTTTTCAATTATTTAATCCATTCAGCAGTTCATTTTATTTACCTTATTGTATTATGGTATCCCTCCCTCTAACTGATTCTTTTTTTTTTTTTTT